TCTACGTTATCAAAGGTTCAACAGCATTGCTCTTCCCACCAGACATGACACCAATGACTTGATACAATATATAAATAAACTTTTGTAGCCATCAAAAAATAAATAAATAAATCAATAAACATTTGTAACCCAAAATAAATACAGGAAACAATACACTAATTAATCTATGACTACTAAACAAGTTAATGAGTCCCAAGGAACACAAACTGAAGAATTAAGGATAAGGAATCCTAGTTCTCCACACTTGCCAGAAAACAAGCACGACATCCCATAACATGGGAAAAAAGATAGTCCACAACAAAACCAAAATAAAAAACTCTGTTGCAAGAAGAACTGTTATGAAGAGTTCTGAATCATGCAAGATATATTGCAAGAAAATAGACACAAAATTATGATTCAGCAATCAAGATCCAGAAAGGACATGGACAATTTGAAAACAGACTTGTATCCTAATTGATTAAAACTAAAGGCTGGAATGGAAGGATGCTGCCAAATATTTTTACCAACAACAGTGTCTCAATATGGATAAGAAGTAAAGTGCAAAAATTCTCAGTAACACAAACACACACACACACACACACATACAGTGTTACTTGGCCATTATCAATTTACCTTTCTTAAATAATCAAGGGCTTCTGAACTGACTTTACATAGGTCTGTACAAAGTTGAACTCCAGTTATTAGAACTCCATGATGCTTTTCTTTAAGTAACGCTGCAGCAGAATTTATAAAGTTTTCAGCCAGGTCCGGGACTTTCTTTATAATCCGTATGGAACATAATGCTGCCTGGATAAAACAAACAATTTTATTGACTTACATGAATGAAATATTACGACAGAATGTCAAACCAAATGAAAGATAAGCAGCAAATAGTCAAAATGTATTGAAAATCAGTTTAGGAAAGAACTCATAGAAGAAATAACCCTCAAAGCCCATCCTGGCTAAAAAAAAAAAAAAAAGAAACAGACAACAATGAGAGGAAGAACATGACATCAAACATATATTGCCCAAAAACTTACTTTTTTCCGAATATTTGGATCTCGAAATTGCAACAATCTTTCTACTTCAGGTGCAAGATCGCGAGCCATTTCTGCTGAACAAATATTTCCCAAAGCACAAAGAGCAAGCCCCACAATATACTGGTTTGAATGATTCAGATCTCTGCATATAAGTTAAGGATCCTGAAAAAGTAAAATTCATTTTTTCCCCCACTCTCTTTACCCTTTTACTACAATCCAATCAATAACAGAATTAATCTTTCATAACAGGGCTGGCAAAAGGAAAATTGAATAAATTAAGCCAGAGAAGATTCTACAGATAAGAGGATACTGCTTTAACGAGTTTGTAACCAACATTAGAACTTCTTGTCTTTCATCAAGAAGCAACATCAAACCAAGGTACCCAATCCTCTTCTCAGGAAATCCAGCAGATGCGATCAACTTGAGGCACTCCATTTGACCAAAATGCGTAGGATACCCAAGCATGTGAATAAACATTAGCTTTGCAAGGTTACGA